AAAATGAACTTGATCATATAGTAAAATGGAATACTACATTTGTTTGTACTTGCCTCACTGTATTCTTTGAATAATCATAATAAGTAACGCAATCCAAGTAAGCGTTGCGGCAACAAGAGGATGTCATTACATATTTGGCATGTTGGTTTTTACGGTTGTTCAAATTAATGTATTGGGTATAAGTATATTTCGGCTGTCAAAACGGGGAAATAACATGCCAAATATAGTAGTCATTTGTGCATACTGATTCATGTAATCTATACTATATTTGGCAAAAAAGAAAAATATTTTACCGCGTTGCTCGTGGCCATTTCGCGCATGTAATCATCCTGAATGTCATCTCCCTCTTCTGCACTTGCTTCTTCCCTTGTTGTGTTCAACTCCCTCAGCTTCCTATCCAACAGCTCACTGAATAGTGCATACAAGCTGTCCACATTCTCGCCAGTAGCGAGAAACTGCAAAGCAATGCATTACCTTAAGCTGAGCTCTAAAAGATTCGGAGAATATCCCACTATCTATATTCTCAATAGATTGCAGGAACAACTTCCAACCTTTTCCAACTGTTTGGATTGAGGAGTGACAGTTGTACCGCTATCCTTCTGCATCTCCTTATCAAAGGCTTTATTGATGTATGTTCCGCGTAATTCTTGGCTGGAATTGCTCATGAGATGAAAACGATTTCGAGGTTAAGGGCTTTTATGGCTATAAATTAGGAAAAGGTAACTTACTCTCGAAGAGCCGATATCCTTTTATGCTCAGCTTTTTGTAGTTTTGTGAGATTCATAGCATCCTCGAGGGTAATCTTCTGGTAAGCGCGAAGGATGGTAGAGGCGTCAAAGTTCTTTTTGGTTTGGTTTCTCATAAGAATTGGTTGCAAAACTTTGGCGTTAAATCGTTCGAAGCTGAAAGTCAATTGCTTTAGAAATAAATGATTTTTGTCCCTTAACTTGACTACTCACCTATCAAGAATAGAATACTGTCCTTGCTGTCCTGCTATATCTTCAACTCCAGACATCATGTAGTCGAGATACTGAAAACAGTATTTCTTCGCAGAAAAGCATATATCAAAGTTTTTTTCCGTATACCTTGTTATATACACTTTCCGCCATTGTAGGCTTTCGATCGCTCTTAGTTTCGACATTCAAGTAGTTCACCAATGGTCGAATAGTAATGCCCTACAAATATTTAATCTTTTAGAATTCATAAAAGATCTTTTTTTTAAAAAAACCTCGATATGATAATATTGTGGAAATAAAACATCACATTACCTGAAGAAATACTGTGAAAAATATGACACAAAGGGTAGTTGTGATGAACATCTTCCTTGCCAAAATTGCATGTGGAAGGGACATTGAAAGACCGAATGCGATGGCACCTCT